CCAAACATGATTGCCACTCAATGCCTCTCTGGCAAAACACAGTACCCAAAAGAAGAGAGAGAGAACAAGGGGGAATGCCCTGCCACAGCAGCAGGGTGGGGGTGGGGGGTGGGAGGGATGCTAGGACCCGTGGTGGGGGAGGATGGGCACTGGTGGAGGGATGGGTACTTGATCATTGTATAACTGAAACCCAAGCACAAAAATTTATAAGTCTATAAATGTACTTCATGGTGTTTCACTAATAAAAAACAATGATAAAAAAAAATTTAAAAAAAATAAAGTCTAAAGGCCCATTTAAAATTCAACTTATTTTGGTAGGCAGACATTTATGACAACAGCAAAAAATTGTTTGGATACAAATAACTATGTAAAATCAAAATTTTATCCGGACATATTGGTATTGAGAGAAATAAAAATAATAAATATTTTCTACAACATTTTTATCACTTGTCAGAAAACAAGGGAGAAAAATCAAAGTTTTTTTTTTTAATTGGGTTACAGGAAACAAGCTGCATAGATGCATCACACTTGCTTTCAAATTAAACACTTAATTTGTTGAGCACTCTTGGAACCAAATAATCTAATTTAATGTTTTAAAGTTTCATGATTCCTTCAAAATAAATGTCTTAATTTTTATAAGTGTTTTAAGAAACATGGTTTCACTGTGATTGCTTTAAGATGGATGGAGACTAGGGAGGCAAGGGGCCAGATAATTTAGTTAATTTAATTGGTTATTTTAAATTTTATCAGTATTTAAAGATAACCAATCAGACAATAGAAGTAGCAAAGCGATGGGGATGACAAAAATAAAAAAGGGGTTGCAGGAGAAGGAACTTTCTCTCGGGACCATGTCATCTGTCCGGATGTAAGTAGCAGGAAGACAGCAGTTCCCACCCCTTGGAACAAAGGGAAGTTGAAGAGACAAATTGCAGTAGGGGCTCAGGATTTGAGAGGCAGTCCCTTAGCCCAGTGACAGTCTACAGAGCTGCAGACCTCACCAGGAGGGCAGTGAAGGACTCAAGGCATCTCATAACACTGCTGGAAACTGTAACCTGGGAAGGTCAGATTGGGGACAGAATGAATGAGGTCATGCAAAGTCATACGAAGAGTAAAGGGGCATGGACTGGAGGAGGGACTTAGAATTGCCTACTTAAAATGTACAATAGAGAAACTTCAATATTATAAGCATTGGCAGTTTTGTATGGGAATAAGAAGATGATGTTAATGCATAGTTGAAGGAAAAGTGAATTCAATACAAGAGGTCAATATTAGGAACTCATTGGAAGAACTGAAGTGAAGAGAGTTTGGGAAGACTACCTATTCTCTTGGTTTTGAGATCACAGTTTTGTGGATGTATTCCAAAGGTCAAGAAACTATGTCCAGCCATTTGCTGATGTTTTCTGATCAACTTCTCACCCAGCAAGAAATATATAGAAAAAATAGAGGATGACATCCAGCCTCAGAAAAACTGCCAAAAAATGTGTGTATGTAAGTCCCAAAGCAGAATTAGATACATATTTACTCAATTAAAAATTCTTATATATTCTGTTTAAGTAAGCTCTCTTTACTGAGCCACAATTTCCTCATAAGCAAAATGGAACACTTGTAAGGACTGTTTTGGGTTAGCAGATCTTTTACATGCTGGATTGCTGATTCAGGTGAAAGCAGAAGTAGCAGTGGGTCTCTATTTTCATTCATGATTCACAGGTAATAAAGATGCTCAGACTCAGAGTTGGAAAGTAGAATAATATTTGAAATAATTACTTGCAAAGTAAGAAGAAAAAAGGAACGGAGTTCCCCAAGTGGAGAGGAACTTAATATATGACTAATTTAACTGTGGCTCTTTTTGTGAGATTTTTATAGAAAAAGTGCATCTTTGTGTGACAGAGAATTCAGGGAATCTATGGTGGTCGGGCTGGTTTGAGTCTGTCTGATGATCTGCTTCAGGTATTGTCCGTTATCTTAGTCTTCCTGAGAGCCTAAGTTCTGGGGCAGAATTTTATGATGGACAATTGTTAACTCCTATTTATTAGAAAAAGTCTAATGAATTTACAAGGAGTAAAAAATATAGAATGGGCCAGTCAAAAGTTGACTGCTCACAGCTGCTGGCATGGGTAAACCGAGTCCTCCTCTTTCACTACTGTAGAGAACAATTTCTGTAGAATTGACTTAGCTCTGGTCACTGCAAAAGTACAGTGACTTCTGCTTCATTTTTGTCTTTTAATTTTTTCTCAAGTGTGCTTCAGCAGCAGAATCCCATTCAGAACCACGTCTGTGAAATTCATGCTTCAGTTTCCCTCAAGTGAGAAGATATGGATGTGGGGACCTAGCACTAATAGACTACATAGAAGATAGTCTCTATATTCAAACAGCTCACAGTTGAGTAGTGGTGGAGGCAGATAAAATTATTTTTTTCTTTACTAAATGTTAAAAATCATGCAGAAAAAAATCACAAGACCGTATGGCAATTACAGTGATAAAATTAGGCACTATTGTGGCAATAGTAGAGAATGGACATTTGTGAGAGAATAGTGAGGTGAGAAGAGAAGAGACCAATGTGAGAATTAATGTTGTAGGAAAAACTGGTCTACAACTAAAAAATTGTTGGAGTCTCATTGCAGATAAAAATGATCATGAAAATATCCAGAGGAGGGGCAATCTTTATAGCGCCATCTAGACAAATTGTAGTCTTCTATACAACGGTAAACAATTCAAAAGTGATAGTACTTACTGATGGGTAACAGCATATAACATGTGTATCCATAAAGTGACAAAAAATTTACAAAATACAAAAATTAGTAAATACATAATGATTTTATAAAATAAAGTACAACTACAGATAAAGATATTATGATATAAAATTTTTAATGGAGGATGGGTAAGGGAAATTGAATGTAGTGAACTTCAGGAGTATATTTTTATTTCTTAAGCTGAGCGCAGGCATCTGGTGTTTATAACATGTCATAGCTTAAACATGTTTATGCTAATTCTGATGACATTTTTAGGACCTCTTGATTAATGAAAACCACATATTTATAAAGAAGGCACTGATATATAAAACATATCGTATGTTTAATCTAAGTTGTAATTTTTCCTAGTTTGTTATTTTCAGAGAATCTCTTAAAATATGCTAATCATCTCTGAAAATTAATCTACAAAACTCACATTAATTACTGATATTTATGTCACCCCAAGTCCAAAATATTTAACAAGTTTATTCCATTAATATTTTTGCTAGGAATCTTATTAGAGAGAAAACTTAAATTAAAAAATAAAGCCACATGTACACTAGATTTTAATTTTCTTATTTTCCTTTGTGTGTCAGTTCATGTACTTAGTAGAATCAAGAATTCTGACTATTATAATGTCACTTGAGAGATAGACATTTTTAGTAGTTTAGTATTTTAGTATTTTAGTATTTTAGTCTCACAATGGACTGGTAAAGGATTTTAGTATTTTAGTCTCACAATGAACATGTTACTGGTGCCCACTCGAGCAAATCAATGAACAATGGGAGGACAGTGCTACAGTGCTACAATATTTTAAGGAAGATTTTTGTAGTCAGTCTATTGTGAAATTTTGAACTAGTACCAAGAACCAAATTAATTTATGTGGTATTTATAGAATACTCTACTATATACTCAAATATAATAGTTCATTTAGCTAATGATTCACTTTGTTAAGGTTTCCCTTCGTATTATGGTAGTGAATTAGAATGCCCTTAATGAGCTGGAGAAAAGTGAGAAAGCCCCTCTCTAGATTCCTTTAGATTCATTCAAACCTTCTATGAGGTAAAAAGAGGAGACTGGATTTATAAGTAGCCTCATTTTTTGTCCTGTTGGATATGCTTAGAGGGTTTTTACTTACATTTAACCTTACAAAATACATCCAAAGTTTTTATGTGACAATTGATATTTAGTTTGTTTCAACATGTTTCCTTTTCTTAAGTAGCAGTAATGCATGTAATATAATTGATATGATACAAAGAATGGAGTAAAGTTTTATATGAGTATCAATGTCATGGGCTAGAGCAATAGCACAGTGGCAGGGCATTTGCCTTGCACGTGGCCGACCTGGTCGGCCCAGGTTCGATTCCTCCGCCCCTCTCCGAGAGCCTGGCAAGCTACTGAGAGTATCTCGCCTGCATGGCAAAGCCTGGCAAACTCCCCGAGACATATTCGATATGCCAAATACAGTAACAAAAAGTCTCAGGATGGAGACATTATTGGGCCCACTTAAGCAACTCAATGAACAACAGGAGGACAGTGCTACAGTGCTATTAATGTTGTAAGTTACTACAAGGAAATTTAATGAAACATTTCAATTTCAATACTCTTGATATAAATACGGATATTTTCCCCCCACTTCATTTAAACACAGAGTTGTCCATGATGACTTGTTAGAAGCATTTAATATTCCATCACCCATCTCACCACCCCTGTCACCTTTCCTACTCTCATTTCCCCAAACATCCCTCAAGCCTGTCCCCCATAGCAAGCTGACAATAATTTATTTTATAAATATAATAATTTTAATGGAACAATCTAACACTTACATAACACAGATTCATTATTTGACAGATTTCTATTGCCTTTTATGTTTCTTAACCTGTAAGGACTGTGAGTGATTTGAAGTCCGAAAATGCAAGTCTTAAAAATATTGAAATTGTTATTGACAACCGGTTTTTAACAAGGATTTGCTTTATTACATATTTCTTTACTTTCTTATGAAAGTTTCAATATTCTTCTTTTTGGTTCTTGAGCCACACCTGGCAGTGCTCAGGGACCACTCCTAGCAGAGCTCAGGAGACCAAATCGGGAGCCAGGAACAAGCAGGGCAAATGCCCTACTGGCTGTACTATCACTCCTGCCACTCTTTCTTCTTAACTACCTAGACTCATTTGCGTGTGTGGAATAATAAATCTGTGTAATATAAACTAACCTAAACCTTTTGCATATATCAAAGTATATTTTGATTGCTTTTTCTCTTTCTTATTGTAGGATAGTTTCCCAGCACGATTTGGAGGAATTCATTTTGTTAACCAGCCCTGGTATATCCATGCACTATATACTGTGATCCGGCCTTTCCTAAAGGAGAAGACTCGGAAAAGGGTATTTATTCTTTCCTTTTACAAGCTTTATTCTCCTATATTTATTGATCTGTCATGTATAATGTGAGTATAATATTGGCTTTGGCTAACTGTGCTTCTACATTGTATATATTCAACTTTAAAAATTTTTATAATTTTAAATGACTTGATTAATTTTGAACAATATATCTGAATTATTTTATTAGCACTTCTGCTTGATCACAAATAGGGAAAGCATTTTAGTACATTCACAACACACTAGTGCCTGCATAAAACTATAAAAATAACTATGCCTTCTCACTATAACACATTTGTTTTTGAATATTGTGAATTAGATAGAGTTCATTCAGTTGTATATTGATTGCTATGATACATTTTAGAAGAAATACTTTGTGGAAATTTTACTATTTATTTCAATTAAAAGATTTTTTGTATTCTAAAATTCAATTTTGTGTAAAAATGAGAATATTCGAAGTATATTTAATTATTGATATGGGAATTTAGTACAGTGAATGGCATATGATAAATACTGAACACATTTATTACTTATTACTAAACCCTAAATTAAAATGCATTCTAATATATAAATCTGAAGAAAAAGAAAGCAATAACTTTTCTATTTTAAAAGGCGGAGAAAAGTTTTAAATCCTAAGGTTGAAGTTATTTGCTTACTCATTATACAGCTATAAAATTTTAGATCTTATATATGAATCCAAATATACCAGCTCCACATTTAGAGTTATATTTACTATACTAGACCAATTTTTAAGGTATTACTTTAATAGTAAAAATATGCTTCTAAATTTATATGGAAGATTATTTTCTGTGTTTTTCAGTGAGTGCACAGGCATTTCAGGTATTTTAGTGGCATAAGTGTCAAATGAAGTAATTGCTAAATGTGTTTACATCAAACATCTGTGAAGAGAGGGTTTTCTATATATAAATTTGTTAGAAGTGTTTAAATAAATGAAAAAGAATTCTGTAAGGTACTAAATCTGCATTTTAGGAAATATTTCTGCTATTTCATCAGAAATAAAGTTAATTTCTAATTTATAATTCAGGAAGTGTGTGTGTGTGTGTGTGTGTGTGTGTGTGTGTATACTTGAGTTTTGTCCCTTTGTAAATAACAGAAACTCTATATTCCTTGGAATTTCCTAAATGTCAATAGAATTAAAGGTGTCTTGTTAAGTTAGTGTAGTGACCTTTGGATTCACCTAAGAGACAGATGAAAAACAAAGGAGGGCAGCGGTTAAGAGGATTCAGGTGCATCAGTGTTTTTAAGAAATGATAGAGCAAAATACCTTCACTTCAGAGTCAACAACACTGAAATTATGAGATCCAAACTTTAACAACTCAACTTCAAAATATGCCTGTCAAGAGGGCAGGATGGGAGTGGGTTTGTATGGAAAGGAACCTGGGAACAATAGTGGAGAGATGCTGACACTGGTGGTATTAGAACGTTGTATGTCTAAAACTCAACAATGAATAACTTTGTGAATCATGGCATTTTAATAAAATTAAAGAAAAAGAATTGGGCCATGTTAACAGTGGAGCCAACATTGTGGTTAGAGGGTTGAAACCTTAGACTTCAGAGAAGAGAAAATCTCAGGAGATCGGGTTTAATTTCTAAATGTAATTTAATCCTCTTGGCTATGTAAGGAATCCTCCATAAGAACCCAAAAGGAAACGGTTAAGAAAATGCTAGAGATTAGGAGGACAAACGTGCACCTGGAGAGAGCAGGAAAGCTACATGGCCCATATACCTTGCACTGTGCATGTATTTCATCTAGTTCTTCTAAGTTAACATCATTATTATAAGCCAGGAGTTCAATAAATAAAGTTTTCAGGGTTTTGTGAAATGCCTAGTAAATAAATGTAACCCAAGTGTAGGATTCTGAAACTGGTTTACATAACTACTCTTTCAGAAGAATGGGTAGTCCTGAAATTGCAACTGGTGTCTGAAGTTATCTGTATATGTATATACATATTGAACTCCTGGCTTATTCATTTTCTTAATTAAATTTCAGAGTCTCTAATAGACTGGACTGATGGGGGTGTCAACATTAGGTGTTAGTGGGGACCTTTATTTTCACTGTCTTATCAGCACATGCAGTCTTTCATGCATAAACAAACTTTTTTTTCTTTTAATTCATGGCATCTTGAGCATCCTCAGCATTCAGGAGAGTTTTAGTTCTTTGAGTTAAAACCTTTCTCTCTGCACGTAAGTTGTGAAACAAATAAAACAGCCGTGCTAAGGTTAGAATCTAATGATTATTTTTTACGTTTTAGCCTAGTCAGACTTCAGTTATCCTGTGATGGCTTCTTATCATGCATGGTTGTTCCTATCTAAAAAGAGAAAAGAGGTTTTCCTACTAGTTGATACAAAATTCTACTTTTCTCAGTACAGTTGACTTCCTTTTCTATTCATTGCCGTTTTTCAAAAGTATTCAACTCTCTTCCTTTTCGATGCAAGAGACTTAAAATTGCATAATTTAGTAAAATAAAATAGAAATGGATGCATTATTCAAACAAATTCATAGAACTGTAAGGTATTCTGAATCAAGTGAGCGCATGAAAATCAGATTTATTGTATTAAAAAGAAGAAAGGTAAAGGTAAGGTAAAGGCCCTCCCGTTGTTCGTCGATTTGCTCGAGTGGGCCCAGTAACGTCTCCATTGGAGACTTTGTTGTTACTGTGTTTGGCATATCGAATACGTCACGGGGAGGTTGCCAGGCTCTGCTGGAGCGATAGCACAGCGGTAGGGCGTTTGCCTTGCATGCAGCCAACATGGCTGACCCAAGTTCGATTCCTCTGCCCCTCTCAGAGAGCCCGGCAAGCTACTGAGAGTATCTCGCCCACATGGCAGAGCCTGGCAAGCCACCCGTGATATATTCGACATGCCAAACACAGTAACAACAAAATCTACAATGGAGATGTTACTGGGCCCGCTCGAGCAAAAAGAAGAAAAAATATTTAAAAAGAACAATATAGTAAATTAATTAAATTTGCTGAGACCAGGACTAGCTAAAAAATAAAAGTAAATATTTAATAAAAAATGATTTCCTCGAGCGATAGCACAGCGGTAGGGCGTTCGCCTTACAAGCGGCCAACATGGCCGACCCAAATTCGATTCCTCCGCCCCTCTTGGAGAGCCTGGCAAGCTCCCAAGAGTATTCGATATGCCAAACACAGTAACAACAAAGTCTCCAATGGAGACATTACTGGGCCCGCTCGAGCAAATCGACGATCAACGGGAGGGCTTTTACCTTTTAATAAAAAATAGAACAGTGGTAGGGCGTTTGCCTTGCACGCAGCCAACATGGCCGACCCGAGTTCAATTCCTCCGCCCCTCTCGGAGAGCCCGGCAAGTTACCGAGAGTATTCGATATGCCAGACACAGTAACAACAAAGTCTCCAATGGAGACGTTACTGGGCCCGCTCGAGCAAATCGATGATCAACGGGAGGGCCTTTACTTTACTTTACTTACTTATTTGTGTGTGTTGGGTCAAATCCACCTCCAGGCTTACTTCTGGCTTTTGTTTAGGGATTTCTCTGGCAGTTCTCAGGGTGCCAGGGATTGAGTCTGAGTCTGCTGCATGCAAATCAAGTGCTTTATCTCTGTAGTATTTCTATATTCCAAGTGATGCCTCATTATTGTCCAGTTTAGAAACAAAGTCAAATTTATGAACTTAAAATTATTTATATAATATTTATTTTTCATCAAATCATAGATTTCAAGAAACAATATTATCATTTTATTATTCAATATTATCATTACCAAAGTATTACATTGTATAATAATTGCATTAAATAATACATTAAAAGATCAGAGATGCTGTAAGAAACATTAGGTGGGAAATGGAGAGAGTTTTCTATGTTGTGCAAGGTTGCAATATTTAAAATTTCACCAGGGAATATATTCCCCAAAGAGCATTTTCAGCAAAGACTTCCAGGATGTGAAAGAGGGAACTTTGATAGTACCTGAAAACATAAGAAATAGTTATTTGCAAGTACCCTGGGATTAACACATTCATAACATGTTTCAATAGGAATCCAGTAGAGGAAGCTTTATTTAGAGAACAGTCTTAGAATTTACTCTAAGAAAAGCAGGAAGTCAATGGGGAGCTCTGAGCAGAATAGCAGTATCTGGGTGATCTTTTGATGTGGTTAATCTGGTATTTGTTTGAGAATAGAAGTAGAGAATTAGGGTAAAAACATGAAAGTAGAGAGAGCAGTTAGACTGGTATAGCATGTCATAATATTGTTGGAAGAATTATGATAGCTTGAGTTCAACTGTAGTTGCAGAGTTTATCAGATACTTGAATTCAGGTTACAGTTTTAAGTTATAAATAAAAAGTTTTATTGTCAATTTAGATTATGGGATAAATGAAAGACAAGTCAAGGGATTAGCTTTGAGAATCTAGAAGAATAGTTGATTCCTAACCAATTTTGAAAATAGCTGGGTGCTTACTTGAAGGAGAACATCATCAGAGCAATTTTCAACATGTGGAATTTGAGGTGCCAATTGACTTTTTAAAGGTAGAGATGTGAAGTATAGAGTGAAAATACCAGTATGGAGTTCAAAAGAAAAGTCTGGATTCAAGACATAAATTTCCATTGTAAGGATAATATTTGAAATCATTAAACTGAAAAGAATTACTAGGAAGTAAGAATAGAGAAAAGAATAAATTCAAGATCCAAAACCTGGAGATCTCTGATATTGACATATTGGGGAAATGAGGAGTAATCATCAGTAGAGACTGACAAAGGAACATCTTTCAAAGTAAGAGAGAAGAGAAAGAGATACTGGGAGAAAATGTTTCAGTGAGGAAAATCATCCACTATAGCTATAGTTACTAAGTACCCCTAAAAATATTGGACTTGAATTCAAAACGATATTATTTAGGACTGTATTTATGCTTTGGTAGAAGAAAAAATTCTATATGGACTGGAATCTGGAGGTATAAGGTGAGAATATTTGGTTTAAAAATGTAAGTCATTTCTTTGATGAGTTCCTCAGTAAAAGGAAGGGGAAAATAAGATATTAACTGTGGTGGAAGTAGCTCCAAGAGAGATTTTGTATATCAGTATATAGAAGCAGGGTGTGGAGTAGTTTGACAAATTTGTTCTCTGACTGGAAAAATTCAGTGGGAGAGATAATAAAATTGCTTTAGAAACATAACTGACTGGGAGATAGAGAATGAGTTCTAGCGCACAAATGGAGAGGTTGCGGGTGTAAGAGTTTATCCTTCCACTGTACTAGGAGCAAAGGCACACATATTGACACAGATGCTGGTGGGTGGGTCTCATCTGGTGGACCTATTTTTTTTTTTTCAGTGAAAGAGGAGAGAGATGTTGAGGGAGGAAGTAACAGAGTGCTAGCAAAAAGAAAGAGAGGAAGTAGTTTGCTAGGATTACATTTTCTCCTCTAATGATTTATTGTAGTAAGTTTTCATGATTTAAAAGTGTTTTCTTTGTGAAAGAAACACATCTCAAAGGAAAGATTATGTTTTGGACTACGAGAGGAAAGGACAGAGAGATTAAAAAAAATAAGAGAGATATTTCCTGGACTGTTACTCTGCGAACAGAAGTGTACAGTATGAAGGTATAAAGTTTGCAGTTAATCTACCAGGTGGCAAATGCCATCTACGACCTCTGTAGGCTAAGTGTCATGTATTTCTGGCAGCTGTTTGCTTTGTTCGTTTTGACTAGGGATCTATTCTTGTCTTCTTTTATTCTTTTATAATTTGTTGAAATTAATTTTTGATTGGTGATTTCTATCTTTCATTTTATTTTATGTTGTGAAATGTATTTTGCTCTATATTTTCTTCAGTGTCCTTTAAAAGTCCAAAAAATAAAAAGATGAATGTGGTAGCAAATCCATCCCAAATATAAAGTAAGAAATTATTTTTAAGTCACTTATAAGCTGTAATCCTGATTTATATATACTGTGAATGTATGAATTGATCACAATGCTTTACCAAAAACTGATTTTTAGTTATGACATCAATGGAAAGAAGAGGAAGGAGGGTTTGATATTTTTTGAGAAAAATATCAAGTATGTAGCGTAAATAATTCTTCAGTTTTTATAAAGATTTATGTAAATAGTAATACCAGCAATTACTATATACATACAACTTTACTATTTCAATCCATTTATTCTAGTTGAACAATATAAATGGGAACTTACGGTGGAGAAGTTGCCGGGTATATTACAGAACATAAGTCTTTTAAAACATGAAATTTTACTTAACCTGTCATTATTATGATGCTAATCTACTTTTATTTACATCCCAGTCTCACTCTCTGCAGTATAAAGTAGTAATTTAGTGATTACAATACTCTTTTTTGATTGATGATGAAGACAAGCATGCTGGCAACAGCTTTTAGGCTTAGCTTGGATGGACTCTGTAATTGACGAGTCCTTTATGAGAAAGCTCTGTTTAACAGCTTTCATTCTGTACATCATCAGCTTTGCTCAACTAACACTAGGATCATGTTCAAATCAACATGCATAACAGGTTTTGCTTATGTGTCTGACTATAAAACTGGAAACCAATAATTCTCTCTAACTCAATAACTGTTTGACCACCTAGAAATTGTTTAAAATCCCTGAGCCTAAGAGTGTTGTATGAGGTACCAGGATACTAGTTTCAGCATTACCTGTTTCAGAGTAGGTGAAAAAAACCCAATGTTTTAACAGACATTTTTCTCTCCTTGTTCCCTCCCTGATAGCATGTAGTATTGTATTTATCCTCTTGCGCTTTCTCCATCCCTCTCTTGCATTTGTAGATATTTTTGCATGGTAACAATCTGAATAGTCTACACCAGCTAATTCATCCTGAGATCCTGCCCTCTGAGTTTGGAGGAATGCTGCCTCCATATGACATGGGAACTTGGGCAAGAACATTGCTAGACCACGAATATGATGATGACAGTGAATACAACGTGGATTCCTACAGCATGCCAATGAAGGAAGTAGAAAAGGAACTCTCTCCCAAGTCCATGAAGAGGTAATCTTCAGGTCACTGGGAAGTGGGCTGAATCCAGGGAGGGGTTACTCCAAGTTTTAACTTCAAGTTTACATGTTCCTATGTAGGAAGTTGGTGGTATTTTTAAGCTTTTCTTACACCCTCATGAGTTTTCTAAGAATTTTAAATAGAAGACAAGGTTATTTGTGGTACTTTTAATTCAGTGTCCTTCCAAATACACAGATTTTCTAGCAGAGACTGTAGCAGTCACCAGATCTTGTAGGCTTTCAAATTGAGGTAGTGTGCTTCAGGACAAACAGGCAGGGTGAGGACAGCAGCACCTATTCCATTGCCCCAATGACTCTCCTTCCCACTAGGCACTTTTAAAATGATTTTTATGTAAGACTAGTTATTTGAAGAAAGGCATCCATGGCAAGCTCACACAGACATATGCACACGCTCAGTCTTCAAACACTACATCAAACGCTTATGTTCCCTTTCTAGTATCTCTGCCAATTTTCTCTTTAAAGATCTAGCTTTTCCTATGGTGAAACATTTGTATTTTTCAAGTTCTTTAATTTTGATAAAGTTCATCATAGCCTGACTTCCTGTTTTGGCTCTTACACTATTTATGTGCCTATTTTCTTTTCCATCAGCATGTGTCTTTTGGACACGTGCTGCAGTAGATCACTGCCTCCATGTTTTGGACCCAGTGTGCATATGCATGTCCTTATTCTGGTAGCGATGGAAGGTTGGGCTGTTGCCAGTCTTGGACAAGTGAATAATTGGCTCAGTGGTTGCCTTGGATAGCAAAGCAGAAGATACCTAATCTGATTTCCTCAAACATTTGAATAATGGTAACAAAGATAGTGAATTGGTTTATTTTTGAATCACAAGAATTAAGCTTCCCTGTCTTGCACATTTCTCCTCCCTGAGTTTAGGAAGGGTCCAAGGTGACTGGCATGTCATCTGATACCCTGTCATATCCTTCTCAGTAAAAGGCCTTATTTATGGTGCTTTGATCATAGCCCTGACTTCCTCAGCAGGACTTCTATTCCTTGAGCCTGGCTTCTTTCTTTCTTGCTGATGCTGCTGTTTTTGTCGGTTGTGTGTGATGTCTTCCCCTTCCATGATTCTGCACAAGTCCTTTGAGTTCTATGCTCCCATAACAGATGAGTTTCTGGATAATCACTTGAAAGGATTGTTCAGTGTTAAAAGTTATATTCAAAACCATTGTTAACATTTGAATTGTGAATATCATAGGGTGCTTTTTTTGGGGGCAGCAAGTAATTATTTGATTAAATTTTCAAAATTTTATAAAATAATGATTTTAAAAACAAATTTATTTGCAAAACAAATTTATAAAACAATTATCAAAATTAATTTTCTATATATAGTTTAATAAAAATCCTAATACAATAATTAACATTCTACTATCATCTACTCTGTACTTATCATGAGGGTGGCCCTTTCTAGGTGCCTTTCTTGTAACATTATTTAATTGGAACAGAACCCTGTTAAATGATACTCTATTCCTAAAGTCACGGAGTTGATATGTAGTGACTCAGGTTCAAATCCTTTGGAGTATAGGATCTTTCATAAAATTGATAATCTACTTTCAGTGACAACCAGATAGAGTTGTCTCACATGGAAAAGGACTATATAAGAATATGGACACAAAGGTCTAGATACAAGTTCTATGTTCTTATTCTGGGCCAGTTCTTGTTTCTACTCTTCTTTTTGCTCATTAATGTGATCCTCTAAGCACTATTGTGTTCATGCCTTGTGCGACTTTCTCTGGACTCCCATCACTGGTGTCTGCTTGTTTGTTCTTTCCCTACATGACTATCCAGTGAGTTGATTCATTTCAGTTCTCTACTTTATATTTTAATTGACTATTATAAAATATATAGAATCAATTTCTCATCATGGGTTATAAGATGCCCCATGGAATGCCTACCTTTTCCTCCTTCTAAATATTGCCTTTATTTTCTTTATGCTTCTAAGTACTTTTATTCTTGTACCTGCTATCTGGAATATTCTTTTTTTATGTATCTTTAAATGTTTATCCACACTCAAAGGTTCACATCCTCAACAGGGTCATTTGATATTTCTTTTTAATCAGTTCTGCACCCTTTTTCTTATGACCCATTTTCAATGATCTCTTTTACTTACTTCAAAATACTTCTAAGTCAAATGATTAGTTTACTTAATTTTATATTCTGCTTCTCAAGTAAGTTGTGCAGAGATTTTATTGGTTTTATTGTACTTTCCCTCTTTGAATCCCCAGGGTATGGAGAAGGATCTGGCACAAAAGGTGTACCTATTAGATACCAATTGAATGAATGAATGGAGTCTCTGATATCTTTCATGAACCCATCTGTACTTTATTGAATGACACTTGATGCTATCACTACTTGAATTTTAGCTCCAGAATTCTGGTTTTGCTCTTTAGAGAACACTGACTGCCTTTAGTGGTGGTTGTCATTGTCTCTGTTCTGTTGTTTGGCAACCAAAGTACATTACAGACTCATTGAGCTTCTTAAAACTATTAAATCTTTTTACTCGCATTTCTGTGCCTTTTTACTTTCTATTTCAGGGCACAGCTTTTTCTTCCAGACACATCATTTTAATAGACTAGTGTCATCTTGTTAGATATGGCTTATTATAATCACCTTTTGAAGTCTTTTAGATTCTGATTTTCTTCTCCACATAATTAAATCATTTTGTTCCCTGCGGATTTGGCTCACAGGATACTGACCTCTGATCCCTTAGTTTCTTGCTTCTGACAAGTGGACTGATTAGAATTTCAGATTATCTCTAGTATGTGTAGGTTTTGTATCATTTGAAAATTTCATGGTTTTATTTGAAAACTTCTGAGGAAGTCTAAGTTTCTTCTCTTGGACATCATCTTCTTTGTGTCATAGAATAGTGATTTCTTTCCATAAATAATGGAAAAAATGTAGCTTCTGACTTTCACATTATGCCACATCTCTTCTTTCTTCCAGTTTTTTAAATTATCTTTAGATCAACATGGGAAATAGCTGTTCTTTTATGAATGAATTTAGGATAATTCTTCCTTTGGGTGATTTTTTTCAGAATATATGGAGGGATAATGTAGTCATTCAGAGGAGAGAGAAAGTTTGTTAGATTGTGTCTTCTTTATGTTCAGCACCTAGGATTGTGTCTGACATAAAATACTTACATGAGCAACAATATTAATACTGCACTGTACTGTACTGTCCTCCCTTTGTTCATCGATTTGCTCGAGCGGGCCCAGTAACATCTCCATTGTGAGACTTGTTGTTACTGTGTTTGGCATATTGAATACATCATGGTTAGCTGGCCAGGCTTTGCCATGCGGGCAAGATACTCTCGGTAGCTTGCAGGGCTCTCTGATAGGGGCAGAGGAATCGAACTTGGGTTGACTGCGTGGGCCACGTGCAAGGCAAATGCCCTACCAGCTCTGCTATCGCTCCAGCCCATATTAATACTATTATGGAATAAAGGCTTCTGATTTTATCAAACACTTTTATTTATTAAACATTGCTGCTAGAAGTCAAACTTTATCTAAGACTTTATATTTATTGCCACTTCTGCTTTTATATAAAACTAATCAGGTGGTTTTATCTCCATACTGATAAACAGACCTAGATGCAAAGATAAGTACTTTCCACATGTTATAAAATTAAAAAAGGGCAATGATAGTATTACAACATAGGCAATATTAGAAATTAAGTTACTTACTTATCCACAATGTGGCCAACTCGGTTGCCCTGAGTTTGATTCCTCTCAGAGAGCCTGGCAAGCTACCAAGAGTATCTCGCCCGCATGGCAAAGCCTGGCAAGCTACCCGTGACATATTCAATATGCCAAACACAATAACAAGCCTCACAATGGAGATATTACTGGGCCCGCTTGAGCAAATCGATGAACAGCAGGAGGACAGTGCTACAGTCCTACTTACCCACCGTCATTTACTATATGTCAAAATTATGCTGGGATTAAACTTGGTTCTATTACATTTGTGTTATGAGATATTATTTCCTTCAATTTGAAGATAAGGGAATACAATCTTTTAAAAGTTTTAAAAAATTATTGAATCACTGTGAGATAGCTCTTTACAAAACTGTTTACAATTAAATTTCAGTCCTATAGTGTTTCAACACCCATTCCTCTAGTGTAAATTTCCCAGCAGCATCCAGGGAACCCAGTTTCCCTCCCATTACCATCCCCCACTGCCAGCCTGACTCTATGGCAGAGACTTCTCTCTCTCTCTCTCTTTCTCTCTCTCTCTCTCTCTCTCTCTCTCTCTCTCTCTCTCTCTCCTTTTGGGCATTGTGATTTGCAGTACAGATATTGAAAGATTATCCGGTATATCCCTCTACCTACTTTCAACACTCAGATCTTATCCAGTGTGATCATCTCCAACTATTATTGTCATCTAAGGGAGCACATTTTTAGTAGCTTAGAGAGATTTCTCCATAGTCCCAGATATAGTGAAAAGAGAATAGGTAAGGGAATTGATTTTGTTCTGGTATCTTGCCCTTACATGCCATGCTAAAGCACAATATTGCAGAGATATGGTGAGTGAATAAAATAGTGACAGATAAACATTTTAAAATTATTTGTTGTTATGGAAATACAAATGCCACTTACTGCAGACTGTGGAGGCTGTGTGGAGACTGCTGAGTTAATGATAGCTCCTCCTACTGAAACTGAAGCAGATTAACATTAGCAGTTATGATCCTTCTTGGATAAGAAAACAAAACAAAATCTTCAATGAAGATTTAGTTGTACTTAGGACAACTAAATAACAAAACGATTTTCACTGAAAATTGTGGGTTTTATTTTTTGGTTTGTTTTTATGGAGAAATTGTTCTGCATATGGAGCCAGTGTTCATTATCTAACAAATCTGGTTGTCTGCAGTGCCTGATAAAAGCGAATTTAGGCACTTAATTCCAGGAAGAACAATACACTGATCTAAAATCATTCGTTAAAGTCATCATAGCCTCTAGATTTAAAAAAAATAGTTAAAAGACATAATAATTTAAAAGATTTTGAGGTATATAGGTGTGAGTGATTGTGTTTCTATTGATTACGGTAGAAGCTAAAATTGGGTACCTTGCTGTGTTTGAAGAACTTTGGTGTGTATTTAAGTAATTAAATATTAGGATATAACTCAGTCTTATATTATATATTTTGGGATATTTTTATATGTTATCTGTAAAGAATTCTTTCTTTCTGAATTATGCAGACAATGTAAGTATTATCAAGAATCAATTGGCATTCATTTTTTTGATTTAGAGGACAGAGTTTACATCATTGGTCTTTATTTTCAATGTTTAGCACTGAATTTCTTTCAATTTGGAAACTACTGGTTAAGTCAAAATACTCATTCTGTACAATCTCTGTGATAAACATTGTATTACCAATAATGAGAGAAATTAAGTTTCCCTAGTTAAGTCTAAAGATAGTGTGAAAATTATAATTATTAAGTATTTTGTACAAGTGACTGCTTTGTTAAAATTTATTTTTTTCTGGACCTTTATTTATCATTAATATGGAATACAGTGTAAAATGTCTTTACTCTTTTCTCTATTCTTTTTCCTTTTCATTTTCCTTTTCTTATGTCTCCCTTCCCCTTCTCTTGGACATTTTAAGTTTTGAGTCATTTCCCTTAATACAGGCATATGATGCCTGTTATTGAGATAAAAACAATGAAAATAGCTTAGAGAACCAAGCGTTTTTTATTAGTACTTTCATCCTATTTTTCATTTCCTCTTTAGAAATAAATTTGTGTTTTCTTTAAATGAGACAGTCAATTTATCAGTCAATCTTGAAATTATTTTTTTAACAATTAGTTCCATTGCTGTTCTTTTCATTAGCATGTGTTGTTGTATTTTAGATTATAGCCTTTGTTTTTGAGAGTTAATGGGGTCTGCTATGAGGCATATTGCCACAGCAATAGCCAATTGACTGGAATGCAGCAGCAGGGGAAAAATTCATTACCAGAGAGAGTTTTAGAAGGGCAGCTGCTTCTTTAATGCCATAGCTATTAAGATGGCAGCTTCCTGCCATAATAGTAGTATGTTTCATTGACTTTCCTCCTTCTCAGTTTCATATCATTTCCTCTTCGTAAGTTGAGATGTAATTTCCACCTGCTATCATAGACACATGTAAGCAGATTTTAAATTGTTTGCTTTCCTAATCATAAATAAGATTAGGCTGTCTGTTAAAATAAGAGGGATTTACTCCTTTTTAAGGTCTCAAAGCATTCATGAAACTTTCAAGAGTTTGATTCATTTCCGTTATAATTAAGTTCTTCAGAAATGTTTATTCAGATATTCTGCTGGGTAATTTAACAACACATTTATTTTTTAATTTTTGTCTAACGTAATCATTAATTAAAATATCATGATAAAATCATATCTTTGTTGAATTTGCTCTATAAAGTCACATACAGGAATAGAGATGCCTATAATTTCTATTTCATTTTTTATAACAATAATTTCACTGCAATATTATTTTCCACTTGGAAATCTTCTGTTGAAATGCATCTGTCCTACACAGTAACTTTCCTGTCTAAAAAAAGAAGAGTCCTTGGTGTTGAATTATTGTATGCCTAAAACACAACTATCTGTAACTTTGCAAATCATGAATTTTTAATAATTTTTCAAAAAATTTAAAAAGAAAAGGAAAGAGACTTGCTGGATAATGCAGATAATGTAAGTCTGTTATTGTCAAGAATCCATTGCTGCTCATTATTCTATTTCAATGTCAGAAGAAGTTGTTTCCTCATTCTAACACAAAATGCCAATTTAAGTGTTTCTCTCTAAATGCACATCTATTCTAGTTCATAAATTCCTTGATGAATATGAAGATAATACTTATTCATGAGTGAAGAGATAGTAATAAAGAGAATAGTAAGAAAAGAGAGTGTGATTATTTGGTAATAAATCACTAACACTGTCTTTGTCATTTACAGATCCCAATCAGTAGTGGATCCAACAGTACTGAAACACATGGATAAAAATGAGGAAGAAAATATGCAACCATTGCTCTCCCTAGATTGATAGCTTCTCTACACTCCCTGTGGATTAGAAATGGAAGGTACTAGATATCAGCAAAAGGGACAACTCTGTGGAGAAATTACCAGCTGGAAACTTATTTATTCATGTTAATGTAGCATGGAATATAATAAGGCATCAGACTTTTCCATTTGCCTGATCCATGGGTGCCCTGGTCTGAATTTGGAAAAAAAAAGTTCATTCTGTAAGTGCCAAGTTCTTTGTAAATACACTGTAATCTTCACATTTACTTTGTAAATTTTGGTAGTAACTTCACTTGGAAAAGACTGACTCATAAGTCCTATTATGCCAGTGAAATGAACTGTAACAAAAAATCAGAAAAGATACATAACTAATAAAAGCTAATTAAACATAGCCCTGTTTCCTATGAAGCCATATTTCTGCTATCATAGTGATTGTTTCACTGATTGTTTCTCTGAAACTCATGTCATCTTCTAATGCATTTTCAATGGGCACAGGGAACTAAATAATGGTAGAAAATTAATATAAAGGTGTATTTCCTATTTAATGATTTTCATTTCACAGAAAATGTATCCTGGTGAATATCACAGGCCCTTCATTTTGGAAACAAAGAATGATAGATGGAATTGTAAACTGAACATTTGAATTCTTATATGTTGTTTAATTCCTGGTGTCTGTGGAAAAATGTTTCCCTAATTAAGATGTGGCATTCTGAAAGAGAGTGGGTTCTTTTTAAACTGCTGTCATTATGAGTCTTTTATTTAAGACCTATTATATCTTTGTCTGAGCTACTTTTAGTACATTTTCCTCCAACAATGTTTGACCGAGAGAAAGCAAACTCATCCTTGAATAGTGTTTTGGCAGCTAACTTTGAACATAGTATTAAAAATTTACAATAAGAAACTAATTTCTAATTCTTGTGTGTTGTTAGAAATATAATATGTATATGTATATATAAAGCATATATCTATGCATATATACATATAAATTTACACACATATTGATTGAAATCTAATAAATCCACAATATTACTTGATTATGAAAAACATTATTGACACTCAGCAGTTTTGGAAATCCCACAGACTATTATACAAGATATTCATACTGGAAAATCATTTCCTCTAAAGTTGATAAAAATATGTTGAAATAGACTTTTACCTATTTTAAGAAATTTCCAACTTAATTTATTATGCAATCATGAGTCTGTGCCACTTTAGTGAAGACTATCTTTTCAAAAAGTCTCGACATAGCATAGTAGTATATGACTAAGTATAATATATCTTTTCTCAAATTCAAGTTAATTATCATAGTGATTCTATACCTATACTTTTTTCAGAAAAAAATGATGCATTTAGAAGACATAAATAAAGTCTTTAAAGAGGCATCTTGAGATAGCATGTTACAGTTTAAATCAAGATTTAAAATTCTCACATGTTTTGTTTATATTTCATAAAAGTTCTAGTTGTTTATATTTCACAAAAGTTCTAGTTGTAGCATGTTTTTAAAATTGTACTTTACATTTCAAATTTGAATGTGTGAAAGCAAGATTCTACAACTTTTCAAAGTGATAAATTTTAGGATTGAAAATTCACCATGAAAATATTCTCTGTACCAAAAAAGAATCTCAAGAAACACTTGAAAACCAACAGAAATAAAAGTGTATAATCTCCTTTATATTTATATATATGTAAGCCAAAGGCCTCAAATACTGTAAATATAATTCAACAGTTAAAACATTACAACCAAGATCATTATACCAATCTTCAGTGTACTGATGAACTGTCTAGTTTTTATAAAATAGAAATCCATTAAAAAAGATAAGCTCAAATTAACTACAAAAGACTACCAGGAATTCTTCTTATAAATGTTCAGAAGTTGGCTAAACTGTGATAAAAAAAAAAGATACAACAAATATTTTCTTTGTGAGAATCCTAACCATCTATGCTCCTACTTTTTCTTTTAACTTCCCACCCTCCCCTCCCCTCCCCTCTTCTTCCCTCCCCTCTCCTCCCCTCCCCTCCTTTTTCTTCCCCTCTTTTCCCTTCCCTCCCTTTCCCTCCGATTCTCTTCCCTTTCCTTCCTTTCTCTTCCCCTTCCCTTCCTCCTTCACTTCTCTTCTCTTCCCTTCCTGCTCCTCCCCTCTTCCCTCCTCTCCCCTCCTCTCTTCTCCTTTTTTTTGCATATCCAACTTACATTTTATGGTTGTGGCATTTATATATTTTATAAGCAAGTATTATAAAATGAGATATATTACAACAAAATAAAACCATATAGAAGGGTGACTAATCTTTCATTATCATTAATTTATTTTGATGTGCATCATTTATTGCAAATTTTACTAACATCCGGTATCATTCTACATACCCAACATCTTTTCCCTAACATAAGGCAACAGTCATATATAAAAGTAACTAGAAATGATATTTACTGTGTATACCTGTGCAGTTAAGAGTATCAGTCACACTGTCTGCTTACTGTATATTTAGAAACTTTGCACTGGCTCTATTGCTCTTATTTGTTCCTCTTGAAGAATATAATTGAGAGTCAACTTTATTGTGTAAAATATTTTTAAATGAATGAAAAAATTACAGTGATGCTTTTTGAGTTGCTATAAATATTTCAGTTTTTGAGTAAACTAATTTTCTAGTAATACTATTGAAGTTACTTAGGCAGGGATAGTTGATGAAACTTAAAATTTTTCTTTTAGTACCATATAATTTCCACTGCTAAGGAGGAAATTATTCCCCTCTACTGAGACTTTCTGTGTCACATAGTAAAACTTTGTGTCCTTTTTAATTATGACACTACACCCCCTTCTCTCTCTTTCTCTCTTTCTCTCTCTATTACACACACACATTGTAATGAATCTGCATCTCTTGTGAGGGATATACCTTTTTTCTAGTAACCTTGCATCAAAGAATTATGAAATTAAATTTTAAACAAACCAGTGACCCATTTAATTTTCTCACTTTATCTGCTTCGTCTCCCATTTCTTATGTATTTTCTTCCCTTCACTGTTTCAGGGGCAGCTTCTTCCAAAGCTGATTTGAAAATAAACTGCTTATCTTATGTTGTTTGTAGTATTTGCATACATTTTCTGATCGGTATTTTAAAGAAAGTGATTTTCATAAAAATGTAATTTAAGAAATATAAAGAAGTGCCTCTTTAAAAATGTAATAAAGCAGTGACGCTAGAATATGAATTTTATTTGTACTGTCTTACAAAATATAAACTTAGGCATCCATATTATTAGATAGAATAAGATATCCCCTGAACCCTGCAGTGGTGGGGGTCACTGGTGTTCCCCCAAACCACAGAACCAGAGCAGCACTGCAACCTCAAGCCCTAGCACTGAAATATGTTATTGGTTGATTGAATGTCACTAGAAGTGACTACTAAGCCCCTGAGTACTGCATGGGAACTGTCCAACGCAAGATAGCTATAAATACCACTTGAAGTAGGATATAAAGATTTGCTTTCAACATTAAAGTAGTTATTGTGTGAGATCAATGCAGTCACAGGTATATGTTGCTCATATACCTAGCATTCTGTCAAACAATACACAAGTATCAAACTTACACTAACAAAATTTTGAAGTGGACATGCATGCGTCATCTTATTTCAGTTTGTCTAAAATAATTTGTCTAAATGCAGAGACATCACTTAAGTCTTGTTATAAAAACATTTGTTTAATTTATAGGACTGAATGTACAAGAGAGATAGGTTCTTGAACAGTGGTAACTAGGTCACATTGTTATATTAAACATTTAAAGTTTCCGTATCCTGGAGGGAAGTCTCTCATGCTTTCAGAAAATGGAGAGTTGTAGACTTTGGGAAACACATTTATCACTCTTCATGAAAAAAACCTTAAAGGATAAGACAATGTGTCTTCAGGAATAGAATGCTTTGTCTCTACAAACAACACAAAGGTTTATGATATGTCTGTGGTATTCTATATATATCATTATTCTCTATATTTTTCGTGATATATATAGATATAGATATTTATATCAAGAAAACCTGCTGGTAGCTAGTGTGCTATTTCAGCAGTAGAGTATTTGTTTTGCATGGTGTGAGACCTTGAATTTGATCAATAATAACTCACATACACATACATGTTAAAAAGAAATAAGGAAAGAAAGAAAGCAAAAAAACTTGCTGGAGGGATGTGTACACGTTTGTTGTTTATAGAAAGGTCTCATTGGTCTAGCTGGTTAATAAGATCTCCTTTGATCCTTCTCTTGTATTTCTTAACAATTACTTGAAAATTTGCCATTAGCCCTGAAGTGATTTCAGAATGATTTTAAATGCACAAGATGAAATTAACATTGTCTTGTGACGAGATTTGAATTTTAAGACATGTAACTTTATTTTTTTATGGTGATAAGCTAATAAGTGTATATTCCATCCTATATGTGATATATAGTCTAAAATATGATGTACAGTTTATGAGATAATCGTTTTCAGGGTATGAGGCCTGGCAAGCTACCCGTGACGTATTCGATATGCCAAACACAGTAACAATAAGTCTCACGATGGAGACATTACTGGGCCCGCTCGAGCAAATCGATGAACAACGGGAGGACCGTGACCGTGACCGTGAGGTAATATGAACATGCAGAAATTGGAAGTTTCTATAAAATAATATTGGAACTAGGAAAGCTTTGCTGAAAATGCACTGTATTATTATATTCATTGTAAAGATGAGTATCATTTTATAGTTGACAGAAGAAAACCTTACTTTCAATATACTATTGGCACTGTTTAGAATAATTCACTATTTGACAGACTAAATAAGTACAAATGCAAATGGGATTTTGACTTTGAAATATTATTCTCTCACAGTCTTAATGACAGAAAAAATTTTCCATAAATTTTTGTTTTTATCTTAAATCATCCATTCGTTAATACAATAATTTATTACATGAAATCTGGTCTATGTGGAAATTGATTGTCCTAGATTATAGGAAAATAAAACAGCTAATCTGTAGGATCAGACACCCAAATTATACTATTTTAAAATATATAGCATATTGTACTGCTGAATTAAAAAGTGCTTTGAAACCAAATAAACACAGGACATAAGTAACATAAATGCACTTAGGTAGCAAATAGTGTATTTGTTGCAATATAAAAGTCATTTGCCCAGTTTTCATGTAGGTTTGATTTTTCAATGCAAATATTTTTGTCCAAAATGGTACCACTGCTTTTATTTTGTCAAAATTACTTTTGTGTTAAATGAGAGACTTAGATTGAAAAATATTTTTATCGGGGAGGGAACACATCCAGCAGTGCTGAGGGCTTACTTGTGACTCTGTGCTCAAAGATCATTCCTAACAGTGCTGTGGAAGACTGCATGTGGGATCAAACTGGGGCAGCCATGTGCAAGGAAA